AACAAGAGTATTTTTATTATATTTGTTCAAAAAATTCGTTATATCAAGAGTTCATTATATTAAAAGTTGACTTTAATAATATTTAAAAGTAAATAAAATAGTAATATCAAAAAAGTAATTAATATAAAAGTATTTAAAGTAATCATATGAGAAATAGTCTTAGAAATATAAAATATAAATTTGATAATATTTAAAAATAGAAAAATATATAATAAAAAAAATTATACTATTAAATAAATATTAATTTAGCATTATATACCTTATTCATAGTAAATAAATATAATAAAAATAATAAATTATAAATTAGCATTATAAGTTTTTAACCTCAGAATTGAATAATATTATTATTTTAGAAAATATTAATATAACATTATATATTTCAACCTTAAATTAATAAAATATAAATTTAATATTATTTAGTTTAATTTAGCAATTAAACATTTTATGAAAAATAGAATTATTAATTAGTATTATATATTTTAATCTCAGTAATCAAATGAATTGTATAAAAAATATATAATTATTTAATCTTCTTAATTTATTAATTCAATTTTCAAATATACTAAAAATATCCTGAAAATATAAAATACATATGATTTTTTTATCTTTTAAATCATCTAGAAAAAAATTTCAATAGCATAAAACTTAAAATTTTAAATGATTAAAAAGTCAATAAAACCTAAAATTCTAAGCAATCTGAAAAGTAATTATATCAATATAAATTCTAAAGCTTTAGATATTATAAAAAACAATCAAATTTGATATAAACTTAAGGCTTCAGAACTAAAGGGTAAATAAAATATTAAAGTTAGGATATATATCCTAATATATTATAATCTTTATAAGTATATTACATTTAATAGATTATAATGTATCTAAATAAACTATAATATTCTGATATATTATAATCTCATAAGTACATTATAATATAAAGTTATCCAAATAAATTATAAATGTCCTGATACATTATAGTCTAATAGATTATAATGTATCTAAATAAATTATAATATCTTAATACATTATAATCTAAAGCAAGATGTTATAATATATATACTGTATATTATATAAAACCTATAAGTCATCTAAATAGTAAAAGGTAAAATTTAGCAAAATTGTATTAAAACTTTATTAAAAAATCTGTAAAACTCAACAAAAGATAAAATTATATCAAACTTATAAAAATAGTGAAGCTATAAAACTATATCAAAACTTTAGTAAAATTAAAAATTTAAATGTTTTTTAAATCCAAAATAGATTTAAACAAACAATCTTATATATATTATAACATCTTTATAATTTAATCAAATGGTTATTTTATTATTTTATATAAAATAAATCTTTTTAAAATACTTATCATATTAGATAGATAGACTACTTAAATTAAATCTATATATAATCCATATAATTCAAATATTTTTTAAGTATTATAAATTTATGAATTAATAATATAATTAAATTTAATTAAACCAATTAAAAGATAAATTAAATATATTATAATAATTGATATCTCACTTTTTTGAAGAAATTTTTTTTTCGAAAACTGTACATAAATATATTTGATTTAATTTAATCCATGCACGTGATTTTTGCCGAATATTTGTGATTTTTACCTCCCAATGTTTTTCTTTTTTAATATGGTTCCAAAAAATCGAAATAACCTTTTTTTGATTTAATTATATATAGCTAGTGTCAGAAAATCTTTACAAATCCTTTATTGCCAAGTCAATTTTTAGGCGTTACTATTTTTGTTTCAATAAAAGTTAATGTGGGTGAATAAAAAAAGGTATGTTTTGCCCATAAATGCATTAATGCATTTATGGTATTAGGTTCGAACAATTTAGAATTTGATCTATTAAGTTTTAATCTTGAAAGCTATATAAAGTTAATCACACGATCGCTTCAAGGAAAAAGCCAACGGTAGATAATCTTTCAAACGTCGGGATTCACCGTGAAGAAACATGAGAATTTTGTTAAAATTTTCGAAACTAATTTGGTACATATTCTCGCATGATTTAGCTTTTTCCACATGAACGACTTAAAAAAAATACCAATCACACATGATGTTTATTTTGTCAACAAAAGCATTCATTGCATTTCACCTTTTTTTTTCAAAAGTAGTTTGACATGCAAAAAAAAAATAAAACAAAAAAATTAATAAAAATTAAGATAAATTTATTATTATTATGAAAATGAGATCTAAAAACCTATGGAAAAAAAAAAAAAAATAAAAACTAAAATGGTTGATTCTATACATTATATTATTATACAAAAGGTGGGAATTATGTGAAATTTCTAAGAGCCCAAAAACAAAGAATAATTCTATTTTGAGAAATTGAATGATTTTTAAAGATTATGACATGACCAATTTACTTGCAACACACTGTTCACTTCGTAATTTTGCCGCATTCCGTTCAAAGCTAGCTTGTTTACAACTGCTCATATTTTTACATGTATGAGCTTCAGGTAATCTATGGTCTTTGCAAAAGTGCGTATCACAATATTTACAATAACCAATCGTTGATTGTTTAGAGCCACATTTATCATATTTACACGACTTTTTGATTTTACCACCACCTCGTAAACGAAGTACTAAATGTAAGGTTGATTCCTTTTGAATATTATAATCACCGAGGGTTCTTTCATCTTCCAACTGTTTTCCGGCAAAGATTAAACGTTGTTGTTCCGGAGGGATTCCTTCCTTGTCTTGAATTTTTTGTTTGACTTGGGTGATGTTATCCGAACTTTCAACTTCCAAAGTGATGGTTTTACCGGTGAGCGTTTTTACGAAAATTTGCATGCCACCTCTTAAACGGAGTACTAGATGAAGAGTTGATTCTTTTTGAATATTATAATCCGAAAGAGTGCGCTCATCCTCCAACTGTTTTCCGGCAAAGATTAAACGTTGTTGATCCCCAGGTATTCCTTCTTTATCCTTGATTTTTTCTTTTATTTGTGAGATGGAGTCGTTACTTTCAACTTCCAAAGTGATGGTTTTACCAGTAAGTGTTTTTACAAAGATTTGCATATTGAAGAAGGTAATGAAGAAAATTTTTTAGTGTATGAGAGGATATTACGATGAAAGGTTCCAAAAAATTTTTAAAAAAATAAATTTTTTTTTTTTTTTTTTTTTTTTTTTTGAAAAATTTGTTCAAAGGGTGGGTTTGGAAAAGGGGATATTTATAATACAAAAAAAAAAAAATCGACAAGTGAATATATTGTTAAACTAAAAATATAAATAGTTAACCAACATTTAAATACCGGTAATGCCTTGTATAAAGTCGGTTAATGTGGTGCTGTCTCCTTCAAACTCCAGATTTGGTAATCAACAATTGAAACTCGATTGGATATCAATTAAAAACGAATATGCAAAATGATGACGAGTCTTGTTCTTTATACGTCATCGATTTGTTGTGATCTGCGATATATTAATGAGCTGAGCAAATATATATATATATATATATAATTAGCCTCGATTTTCGGTCCTCATTATAAATTCACCATAACAAATAATTGTGGCGGAAAATGATGATTGTTTTCTGATTATTCCATTTAATATTCTTTTTCTATGCACCTCTGCACCGTAGTTCATCGTGTAACAAATAAACAATTCTTTCTTTGTCAATAAGTACTTACTTTTTAATCCATTCTACTTTTTATGGAGAAGTATGAAATATAAAATTGGGGTTAATATAATTAAAGGCTTTTTGATTAAAATTTTGATGGCTGAAAAACGTGGTTTTTATTGGTATTTTAATTTAATAATCAAAAAAAAAAAAAATATATGTAAAATTAATATATATATATATATTTTTTTTATCACCGAGAAACCCTCCTCTTTGTTTCCAGTTCCTGCCGAACCATGTATCATAAGAAACAAAAAGGGGCTCTAAAAAATTACGCCCTATTTCAGGTTCCTTTGTTGAACGGAATTTAATCGTCTCCCCCTTATTTGTATAATGATTATGATAGTCGAATAGAATAAACTTATTTTAGAATAGTCCGGAATATGATAAATTATTTAATTTGGTAAGAATTATCGTACAAGAATGCTTTTTGCCAAACAGGTTTGTTACACCCTATAAAAAAATTTTTTTTTTTTTTATTGAAAACAGATAAAAAAAATTTCTTATTATTACCTTATTGACAAAAAATCAGGTTTATATTTTTGCCATTCAATTTGATAGGTTTAGTCATGGAACAAAAAAAGAAACCCCCCGCCAACAAAAATAAAAATAAAAATAATCTCTATAGATAAGAAAGAAAGGAAATAAAAAAAAAAAAACCTTTAGGTATTTTTTACCTAATTTTCCTATTAAGGATTGATTCGAATATGAATTTAATCTTTATGTATTGTTTACATGACCAAATAATGCTTCAAAAAAAAAATATGGGCTGTTTTCAAGATTTTCATTCCATCGATTACGATAAGCTTGCGTATATCAGCTTACGTGTACCAGCTTACGAAGACCAAAATTCATCACCTGACTGTAAATTTTAGATTGGTTGATCTGGTATAGTATGCATGACAACAATAACACAAACTTACTGCAAAAGGAATGCTCTTAAAAGGCATAGCATGTAAATTTACATGGTTGGTGATTCCTATTTTTATATATATTTAGTGAGTGGTTTTAGATGATGAATAAAAACAATTATCTGGTAGAGGAGGTGACTCTAGCAATCATTTCCTTTACAGGATGAAATTAAAAGCGTGTGAAAAATAAGTTTTTTATTTTTTTAATTGAACATGGCTGTTTTTATTTTATATCATTCTTTCTTGTGTTACAAGTTACAACAATTGAATGAAAAAAAAAAATTTTTTGACCGATATTAACCGAATTTGGCAGAGGGATCCCGAATCAGAAATCGTACCAACCAAGTATTGGTTTAGTCAATATTACAATATTCCAGGAAATAGTGCTGTTTACACAAAAAAAATTTTGAATGATAAATATTTATTATTAAAAAAATAAAATTAAAAAAAATCCATACAAGAAATATTGAAATTATTAAAAAAACTTTTGTGGAATTTACATAATCGTAAAACACATCATAATTAAACGCGATTTTTTTTTTTCATTTATCTTATTGAGGTAAATAGGAGAACAAGTTACGAAATCTTTTTGGACCAACCCAGGTCCCTTTTAATAATCTATTCCAATAAATTTCCGGCAGGACCTTAAAAAAAAAGGTTTATCGTTAAAAATTTACACGAGCAAACAAACAAATAGGTAAATGTTATATCCTCCTAGCATACATACCTCTTTAGTTAACCAATACATAGAAGTTCTTTCTTCACCTTGATCAACGGGGAAAGTTTCCATCGGCGTACCAGTATAACCACTAAATTCCGCTAAAATTAACTTATCTCTTCCAACCAATAAGGGGCAACTGGCGTAACCATCGTACTTGGCAGCATTAGAAGAATTAAATTTACCCGATATATAATCTAATAGATTCTTTTTCAAGATCCCACTTTGAGTAGCAATGGCAGCAGCGGTTTTTGATGTAGGAGCGGAACTACTATCACCCAATGAAAATATATTCGGATATTTAACATGTTGTAAAGTATATTGATCGACGTCAACCCATCCTGCCGCATTTCCTATCCCCGATTGAGCAATAAAAGGTGGTGGTCCCATTGGCGGCACGACATGTATAAATTCATAATTATAAATTTTTTCTTCTCCGCTACCATCAGGTTTTTTAAATACGGCTTCTTTTTTATCACCACGGATTTCTGACAATTCTGTTAAAAAGTTCACTTCAATTCCTCGGTCTTTCGCGATTCTCGTAAGACTTTTTGCATATTTTTCTATACTAAATATCTTTCCCATTGCTGTGTTATAAATTACATTACATTTTCCTCTGATATGATTCTTATTGAAATGATCTTCTGCCATGTATGCTATTTTAATAGCAGCACCTGGACACTACACAGAACCGTCAAGGAAATGTAAGTTATTGATTTATATATATATATATATATTGAATGCAAGACACCTTACCTTGATTGGGGTGCTTGGCATAGTAAAGATGGCATTTCCACCTCTAAATGCTCGAATGAATTCCCACGTCTTTTCAACAGTACTTTCAGAATAATTACTACTAACTCCATTCTTACCGAGAGATTCAGGAAGTCCTTTAATTTTATCCCAATTACATTGAATTCCTGTAGCTACAACCAAGTAATCATATTTCACCTATAAAAAAAAAAAAAAAAAATTAAAAAAAACTAAATAAACTTTCTTTTAATTTTTTGGATTGTACACTCACTTGTTGACCATCTTTTAATGTAATTAAATTACCATTAGGTTCAATTGCTGTTACTTTATTTTTAATCCAAACGGCATCAGATGGCATAACTTGTTCTGTTGGTTTAGCCGAATCCGAAAATGGTTTAATTCCTGCACCAACAAATGTCCATAATGGTTGATACTAGAGTGTTTAAAGAAAATTATTTCATGAATGTATGAAGATTTTTAAATTGAATTGATTGTAATAATTTGCTTACGTAATGAAAATCGGATGGTTCGATTACTGCCACTTCATTTTTCCCAAGAACTTTGGACAATGTAGATGATACTGTAAAGAAAATTCAAAAAGTTCTCTTGTAAAGAAATGCTTTGGCTTAGTAAACCAAATTAAATCCGATCAATTGAGAATTTTACCTGCAAGTCCACCAGTTCCACCTCCTAAAGTAATTAAAAGTTTTAAATGATGATTGAATTAATTTATGTATATATGTGGTTATAATTATCAAAATTTCGAGTTTTACTTACCAATAACCACCAATTTATAAGAAGGTATTTTGATATTAGTAGAGGCAAACCTCTTTACCAGAGTACTTGTAGTTTCACAAAACAAATATCTACTTTTATTAGCAAACATTTTTTTATTATTTTTTTAAAAAATAAATTTCTAGATCAAAAAAAAACGCGATCTTTATAATATCAACCGGTAACACAACAAAAATTTTGTCATAATTTAAAGAAATCACATCATTCTCATTAATCCTCTTACTAGTAATTTGAGACACACGGACATACTATAAGTGGGAAAATCATCGTGACCTTCAAAAATTTTACCATTAGGGTTTTTTTTTTTTATCTGACTTCGGTCATATGATTCCGAGTTAGCCTCATTCATGTGAATCAACATTCATTGGATGAAGACACGAAAATATACGCGCGTTTCTTATTATCATGTGAATAATGAATGATTTCTTCCTCTCTTTCCAAACTCGAAAAAAAACATGGCTTGGTCGTTAACACAAGTTCAACGCGGGTTACAATTAGCTTGGTGGGGCTCATTATTAGCCTTTGAGAATCGTCATTTGCACAAACATACATATGTTAAAGCCTTTTGGGTTCTAGTCGTTTTCAGCATAACATTATATTTAGTCTCATCGATTCTTTTGATAATTCCATTGAAGTTACTTCAACTTTTCGTTTACTTATTTTCATTTGTATTTCATTATGATCATCATTTATACACCGAAAGTTATAACGCTTGGGTGACAAATTATGTATTCAATCTGCCTTTCTTGGGTTTATTGTTTATGAGGTATTTGTATCCAAAACCATTAGATTCTCTGTTCATAGAATCACTTCGCAATGTAGATACGAAATACTTGAAAAAACATCAGGGGGAACAAAATTTACGAGCATCATATGCGCCAGCATTAGAAAAATATCAATACGGACATGATACAGTATATCTGAACGAAATGTTTCAATATTTAAAGCGAACATGGAACCAAATTAAGATCGCATTATTATTATATTTTCTTTCTTTATTACCTTATGTTGGTAAGATTGTATACCCAGCGGCAAGTGCTTATGCCCTTATTAATTCTCTTGGATATTTCCCCGCCATAACCGTTGGTGTGTTTATGTATATCATACCTGGTACAAAACCTTTTGCTATAATCTTCTTGGAAACTTTATATTCCTCTAGAGCTATGATGAGAGAATTGTTAGAACCCTATTTTGGTAGAATTCATTTTGATTCAAATGAGAGAAGAAAATGGTTTAGAGAAAGAGAAGGTATCTTATTTGGGTTCTCTATCGGTTTTTATCCTTTAGTTAGAATACCTTTACTTGGAATGTTATTCTATGGCGTTGCTCAGGTATAAAATTTTTTTTAATTTAATTTTGTTTTAAAAATAATTATACATTTAAATAAATTATTTTTTTTTTTTTTTTTTTATACCACAGTCTGCTACTGCTTTGCTGCTGGTTAAGACCTCAGAACCACCACCTCCACCTGGACTTGAATCAACTTACAAAATAGATTATCATTACGTAGATACGAGAATTAAAAAGAAACAACAAAAGAATGAATGAATGAAAATATTTAACATTGGTTACTAGATATTTTACAAAAAAATTTAAAATATGTATTATAAATATTATTTTTTGTCCTTTTGCCATGGATCTTGTAGAAAAGATTTCTTATAATAAGCACTAATATCATGATCATTCCGTGGACGTTTCTAATGTAAAATATATATATATATATATATAATTAATAAATCATGAAGGTTAACGTTTCGGAAAAAAAAAAAAAAAAGTAAAAAAGATTTATTTATTGTAATTACCATTGGTGAGTTTCTATTATTATAATCGTTCCACCCACCTCTCTGCTTTTGTCCACTCCCATGGAATCCCCTATTTCCATAATTATTGTTATAATAATTACCACCATAATAAATGTTATAATAATTACCACCGTAATAATTATTATTACCACCACCATAATAATAATTATTACCTCCTCTCATTTGTGAATTGGGACCTCTCCAGTATTGGTCACCACCTTGTTGATAATGTGGTGGTTTGAGATTTGGGGGACAATATGGTGAAATATCTGCTATTTCTTCATAAGTGTTATGTAAAGAAGAAGGTTGCGGTTGAAATGACAGAAAAACGTTAGGAAGTGACGGTAGCGAAGCGTTCGCTGACAATTCTTGTAAATCTGATTTCTCTGACATTTTTTTATATGGAAAAAAGAAACACTAATATTTGTTGGCATTATTCATAAAGTTAATTCCGATTTGTTGATGATCGCCCACCTGTATTTGATGATCATCCCACAGTTTATACAACTTCACGATAACTTTCTGTATGTCTGATAAATATAGTCGTCGTCGCGATTCGCCATTAGTAAAATTATCAAAATCGTTATCGTACGTTCTTCGTCATGGTGCACAAAAGGAAGGATTAAATATTCGTGCAGATGGATATGTTAATTTGCATGAATTGGTATATATTCTTTCTTTCTTCCGTTCTTAATTTTAGTCAATTGCCGTAAATATTTTTTTTTTTTTTGTAGATGAGGTTACCTAGGTTTAAAGGAAGAACACTCGATGAAATACAACAGGTCGTAAAGGAAAATGATAAACAAAGATTTGCTCTTATACAACAAACAACTGAAAATGGTGATATAGTATGGTGGATAAGAGCTAATCAAGGACATAGTCTAGAGGTATTCATTACCCTTTACTTTCACCTTGTCGATATATGTATTATTGTCTTTTCCCTATAGTGTATTAAAAATTTTAAAAATTGAAATTTTCTTTTTTAGGTGGAGGAATTGGAACTAGAAAAAATAACAAATCCTTCACAAATCCCCCAGGTTATACATGGAACCTATTCAAGTAAATGGAAAATTATAGGTAAAATGAAATGTGATCAAATGTATATGGATGAAAAAAAAAAAAATTTTTTTAAATTTTTTTTATATCAAATATTTAGAAACTCAAGGACTTTCCAAAATGAATCGTACTCATATACATTTTGCTACTGGAAAATGGGGCGATCAAAATGTGAAGAGTGGTATGAGAGCAAATTGTGATGTGTATATATATATCAATGTTTATGAAGCTATGAAAGGTTTGACTGACTTTTTTTATTTTTAAAAAAGTATCTGTACATTATTTCGCCAAATCTAACCTATATATTTATTTATTTAGATGGTATAGAATTTTATAGATCTTCTAATGGAGTCATACTTACAAAAGGAGATAAGGGAACTTTGGATAAAAGATACTTTCTTAAAGTAGTTGATAGGAATGAAAAAATTTTATATGGTCAAAGTGATTCTGTGATTCTAACGTTATGAAGAATATTTGATGAACGGGATCATGAAAAGTTAATCAAGTAATATTTTTTTTATTAGCAAACATTTCTTAATCTTATAATTTCTATAAAACTATTAATGTAATCCTTTTATTTATTGATAAAAGAAGATCGTTATAAGATGTTAACAATAAAATTGTAAATCTAATTTTAATTAATATTGGGGGATTCTTCTTAACCTAATGTGTAAAATACATAATGCATAAAATATAATGAATAAAATATTTATAGTAAAAAAAAAAAAAAAAATGATAAATAATTATAATAAATCTTAAAATCAATTTTTTTTTAATTTAAATAACCTTTAAAATTATTACAGTATATTATTAATCTTAACTTTTTATAATTAATGTATGTATTATATACTGTAAATATAAACATTTTACAATAAAAAAAGAAAATTTAGTAAAATAAAATAAATTTTACTTTTATGATTTTTTTTTTTTTTAAAAATAATTAAATATAAATTCAAAAAAAAAAAAATTTAATTTTTTTTATTTTAACACGTCTACTTATAAATTAATTAAAAATGAACCTTTAAATATCTAAAATATTACTTTATATACATTATTTATTAATAATAAAAATTTTAAAATTTTTAATTTAAAAAAATATTAAAAAATTTCAATTTTATTAAAATAATTCTTTAATTTTTTAAATTATTGCTAATATTAATATAAAAAATATCTAACACTTATTAATAATAATTATTTATTATTAATTATTTTATTTAAACTTGATAAATATTATTAATATTTAAGATAAAAAAGAATTTATAATTAAAAAATTTTTTTTATTTTAGAAATATTTCTATATTTTAATATCTGATTTAATTTATATATATTATTAAAAATTTTAAATATAAAAGACTTAAAATAATCTTATTTATACTTTATAAAATAAAACTAGAAAATGGTAAACCATTATTAAGTCGAAAATAAAATTCTAACTAAAGTAATACAAAATGTCTATTAAAAAATGTAATAAAATCAAGTTAACTCACATATCAAATTAATTAGTTTTAATAATAATAATAGCCAATTATTAGAAAATATAATATAAAATAAAAATCTTAATAAAAATAAACCATTAAAAAATATAACACAAATAAGTTCTTAATAAAATAGACTACAAAAGTATTAAATAAATATCATTGTGTTTTAATTAAAAAATAATGCACATCTAATAATATTAATACTTTTTAATTGTGTTTGTACTAGTTTATAAATTTGTTTATTATCTATCACAATTAGCCTTAAAAAAAAAATTTATATAATAAAGTTTCAATTGTATCTAAATGTAAAATCGATCTGAAACAAGAATCTTATCAATCCAAAACTATATAATTTGATTTTTTTCTAATTTCCTAATTTAATAGCAGATTATATCATACTAATAATTAATAAGATCAGATTACTTATAATAAAATTCTTCAAATCAAAATTCAATATAAAAAAATAAGCAATATATCCACTAATCCTAAAACTCTTCAAAAGCGTAAAGAAAAATGATGAGACAAATAAACAATATGAAGAATGCTTTACACATAATTAGGAAAGAGAATGAAAAAAATGAGCAGATAAATTATCAAAAGATTATGAAAATAGACTTAACAAGCATGTGAGAATGAAGAATGAAAAAAAGTTCAGATAAGACCATTGAGAAATGTAAGATTCGTCTTGAACTTGAGAATGAGTGTAAATATAAAGCATGCTTTTGAAATCTACAAATCTATAATATATCAGCAACGCAAATCAAAGAAGAGATAATGACTTATTCATAAATGACAGACCACTCTCAGCCACAATTATCAATGAAGAAGATCATAGTTTATTACAGAAATTTCATAATAAAATAGTTAACATTAGATATAAATTTTGTCTTATATGAAACGAGCGAATTCTATCAATGATGATTGTTAAGCAAATGTGTTAGTATTACTATACAGAAAAAGTATCACCAAAGAAGTTTTTAGTCAAAAAAAATATGGATTCTAGAGATATACTGAAAGAATTAAAAGATCTTACAGAGATTGAAGAGATGTTAATTGCCTAAGTTTTTACCATAATATCAGTATATCAACTTCAAAAAAGTTAAAATGCTTATAGAGAAAATATTATAAATTTTCTCCAAGACATACAAGAATTCACAAATCAGCTTCTGTGATATCCATCATTATTAAAAATACTCTTAATATAATAATAGTCAGCAAATAATTTAACAAGTTTCAGGAATTTCATTGTATATCGTGAAAAATTGCTAGAACCTTATTTTGATTAAAAAAAATAATATTTACTATAAAGACATAATCATTGACAATGAAATTATCTAATTGTTACCCACAAATAGATCTATCAGTAGTTAGCTTAAGCAGATTTCTGATAAACAAACAATATATCAGATGATAAAGAAAATGAAAATGAACAAATATACATTCATTTGTATTATCTCTGTCTCTAACACAGCATGAAGATGATGCTATTAACAATATGCTTAATCACATGCAAAGTAACGATTCTTCTTTAATTTGACCAGAGATCAAAGGCATTTCTGTCAATGAATTTAATATATCCAGATATATAGCAAAATCATTTCTAAACCTTTATCCATACAGATATGATAATCTTCATTCTAAACAGCCTTAAAATATCAAACTGATAGAATATTTTAAGCATTTATTATTATATAAAGATGGAAGGTTTGTAAAACATTCTAGATGAAAGTATTTTGCTTTAAACTCTACAATGAGATGGAGGGCTTTATAAGAAGAAAAGGTTTACATTAGTTAGCACTTAAGCAAAGGCAACTTGATATTACAAACATCTAGAAAATGATTAGTAACAGAGACAATCAAATAGCAGACTGGATAATAAAATATGGAAAAGAGTTACGTAGTTTAAGGTAGCTAGACGTTACAAGTTATCAAATATGATCAAGCAGATAGGCCATCAAGAACTGATATTTTTTAACTTTAGCGTGATCAATTTTCATTGGCTTAAACTCTATCAATTAATGTCAAATAACACAGAAGATTCAGATTTTATAAAGCATTGTATAAAGAACATTGTAGATAATATATATATTGTCTCTTGGTTCTTTGATAAATGTTTTAAAACATTCTTTCATAATGCATTAGTACCTCGATGAAACCTAAAAAATTGATAGTTTTGATATAAGTGATAATATTAGAGAAGTATACACATGTACAGTATAGAAAAGGTTAGAACATGTCTATAATCGATTAGAAGCAAATAAAGAAAACAAAGAAGAAATAAATAATATAATATAATATATAGATTCAATACTTATCACAGTTAATTCTGAAATAAACACAGCTATACTAGAATAACACTTATGCTAAAAATGTGGTGATGAAATAGATGACAATTCACAGAATTATATCAAACTGATTAATAAACTACAATAACACAAATGTTGTAGCCCTTCATATTGTCTTAGAGTTGACAGAAGAATGCATCAACAAAGTGCAGATTTGGATATCCTATGGATCACAATGATAGTACATTCATATATAATGATAATAATAGATAATCTGAGCTTATTACAATGAGAAACGATCTAATTCTTAATCTGCACAGTTGACTCTAATTGTAGGGTTAGCATGTTAATATCAATCTAAAGCCAGTTCTTAGCATCTAACGTAACCTTACATTATATTTTTAAATATACCAGCAAGGTAAAATCTCGGTCAATAGCCTTTATAGAGATATTTAATCAGATCTTTAATAATAGCAATCCTAAAGAAGTTTCACTTACATCAATTCAAAAACTTCTTTTTAATAGCATTTTAAAATGAGATATCTCAGCTCAAGAAATTTGTTACTTATTTCTTAGCATTCCTTTTTACCATTCAAGTTATATATTTCATTTTATTAAACCTTAAGGATGAAGCTGCTAGATGGATTTGTGATACAGGTAGCAAAGATAATAAAGAAGGGTTTACTAATATCAGAAATGCAGGTTGTATAGCAAAATCAACTATTAACAAATACTGAAATTGATTTGTAAAGCTTGAAGAATTTTCATTGTTTAAATTATATTTAACACATAAAAAATGTTGGTGAAAAATAGAAAATATGTAAGAAAGAAAATATTGTATGTATATGGTTATAACTATTACTTTTTCATAATAGTGATTAGTGGGAGAAGTTTTGCTGAGTAAAGATTATTCTTCACGTTAAGCATTAAAACCTTGAACAACTAACTGAAAATAATAATATTGCTTGGTTAACACTTTATAGTCAACATGTTGATATAATCAACAATGATTCAATTAATATGCTTGATTAGCTTGAAGATGAAGAAAATAAATTAAATGATGATGAAAGTCAAGAAGAGATCAAAGACAAAGAGGAAGAGAAATTTTAGTTCAATTAGATGTAACTTACTGAGATGAGACTAAATACAAGAATATTATTTTCATCTGATTTAGAATCTCGAGATATAGATCAGAATCACAATTGGATTAATGACACTCAATAACATTATTCAAATATTAATATAATAAGTGTTAATGATTTTGTGCAACAAGCTTCAAATAATGACAAAAATAATATTAGAGAAGACAATACTGATTTTGTTGATCTTCAGACACTAAATAAGAATTAAAAAAGTTTTTGAGCGTATAGAAATACACTACAACAAAATTCTAAATGATATTTAGATAGAAGCATTAAGAATCATAATAATGAGAACTGCAGGTATCAAAAAGTCTTACCTCATTAAGACAATTTGAGTAAGACTTTGTGTAATGATAAGTAGTAAATCTAAACATCTGACACTTGTAATTGTACCTATAAAAGTCGCAGCTTTTAATATTAATAGCATAATAATTTATTTGATACTTTTTATACTGATAATGAATAAAATAATTATGATCTAGATGGTAAATGACTGAAACAACTGCAAAAAAGATTACAAAATATAATCTATTTCATAATTGATGAAAAAAAGCATAATTGAGTAGTGAATAATTAGTTTAATTAATATGAAATTGAAGCAAGTATTTCTAGAAAGCAAAAACAAACCTTTCAGAGTTTGATCTAGATAATGCTTGGTGATTTTGGGTAGCTTCTACCAGTGCTTGACTTTCTAATATATACTAACTATATGTTGTATGATCCTATTTCTAATAATGGCATTGCATTATACAAACAATTTAAAGAAGCATATAAACTTAATGTAGTTCAAAGGCAATCAGGTGACTCTGAAGAATAGCAAAACTTTAGAGATTTACTTTTAAGAATGAGAGAGGGTAAATGCAGTCTTGATGATTAAAAAAAGCTCAGAATAAGATTTGAAAGAAAACTTGACAAGATCAAACAGGATCAGTTTTCAGATTTCATCTTTATTCTTATAAAATAAGATGATGTAGACAAAGTAAACATAGAGATGCTCAGCTCATTGAACAGACCAGTAGCAAAAATTACAGCAATATATAGTGAAGGAAGTGAGGCAAAAAAAGCTAACTCTGATATGGCAAAGGGACTTGAGGCTCAATTATTATTGGTAAAAGGAACTTGCATAATACTTATAGTAAATTTATAGACTAAAGCTAGTTTAGTTAACGGTTTAATAGAAATCATATAAGATATTCTATTTGAAGAATAGGAATTACCTTCACTTCTTATAGCAGTTTTCATTAAGTTTGATCATTGTAAAGAATCCACTATCATAACAATTGGAGAAGTTAACATTGTTCTGATTATATTTATTAAATGCACTTGAGAAGCTAAATGGGATATGCTGCAATAAAACCAGACAAAGTGAACATTCTTAAATAAGAGGCTGGTATGGCTGAAAATTAATCAATTTGACTAATGACGTTTTGAAATAATAGTGCTCATTCATAACTTATAGACTTGTTATTTTAATATTCACTCTATCATACCAGAATGGGATGAATATAAACCATAACAGGATTAATATATATAGGATTATCCCTATATAAAATATTAATATGAAACTAATTTACATTAAATCCACTATGGAACCCAAGAATTACAGCACCATTAGAAGTATTTTAAAGAAAGAACAAGGTGAAAAAATTGCTCCCCATGTTTTTAAAATCAACAATACTCAAACTTTTCAGGAGTATCTAAACAAAGAAAAAATCACGTATGAAATTTATTAAGAAGAAAGGAAAATCACAACAAATAAACGAATATTAATACCAACACATAGTGAACCAAGAAAGAAACAGAAGCTGGAAACATAAAGCAAATATCTGTTTCTTTATAATTGCTAATAATTCTATAGGCTATTCAGTAAGAATAACAATAAATTTGCTTCAAATTCTACAACTCTGACACAATTTATGAGTAGCAACCTTTTATCGTGTTAGAAACAATGATAAGTATGGAAAGTAATAAAAGCAGATAAATCATTAGAAGGGCAGCTGAACCAAACTTTAGGAGATGATGACTTGTTTGATCAGCAAATCAAAATAAGCAATCGTAATTATGTTTAACTAGAGGTAAGGGTGTAGCCTGCCGAATAGTTTTGTGTTATGTAGAACAATCAGTTGCAAACGTTGTTTTTTTTATAACAGTTCAGTTATTTTAAATTTTTTTTATTCGCAATTTAAAGTTTTATTTGTTGCAAACGTTACAGAATTACGTGTATTCGACAAATCTGTTTATTTATCGATTATAAATATTAATATTTTAGCAAATATTTATTGTAATTATTTATTATTATATAGATAAAGAAAAATAGGCTATAAATGTTGGATGAAATTGTTTTATATATTCGTTAGAATATTTCAATGATTCAGAAAATAACCAATTTAATAATTAATATGTATACGATATTTGTTAACACATGATCCAGTGTCTTGAATATGCACGTCATTTGGTATGGGTAATGATTTAATGTTTATACTTAGACTTATACTTAAGTTATAGGAAGAATGGGGCAGCAGGAGACTAACTAAAATTATACTGATACCTCTCAAATTTGCCGATTATGTCACGATTTTAATAAAATATACGTTAAATAATAATAATAAATTCGCAATTTTGATGAAACTGAGAATTTATTATAAAAATGGATTCAATTTTGCTTTAAAAAAAACTACAAATCTTTCCAACGTCAATACTGAAACAAGTCATTTTATAAAAAGCAAATAACCAGTAATCAAAAATGGTTCTTTCCACTATTAAATTCGTTTGTGAACTGTTGATAGGACTTGTCATTGGTCATTTGTTCTATTATAAAACATATATTCAACTCTGCAATATAAATCAAAAGCTTGAAATAGCAATTCAAGCAGTCAAATTAAACAAAATCAAAATCAAATCTAAATCTAACAAGCTGTCTAGCGAACAAAAATACGCAGATGACGTTAAAATCTATGGAAAGATTTTAAAAAATTCTTTGATACGAAATCTGGACTTTTCATTTACCAAAGTGGCTACTCAATCTGTGAGTTACGCAGGAGGAAAGGCATTGCTAACTCTACACTAAATAACTTTTACCAACGAAAAACTAATCTGCAGAAAATAACTGTCGAAGCAGTACAGGAATGGGTTGATAAAGAAAGGGAAAGGAAAATGATGGTATTAATAATAATGATAATGATAATATGTAACGTAGATTTTACTAGCACGACTAAAGTATAAAAATACTCATCAATGGCTTTAGGTCTGAGTATTTTCTCCCATGCAATCGCTCTGGTGAATATGCAAAAGTTGTACATACTTTGTTTAAAAGAGAATTGATTGTTGTAACTATTTTTTGCAATTTAAATTCAGTTATCCATTATCATACGACTCGTTACAATACGCACGTAAAAAACAATTGCTTCACTTCTGAAAGCAGAATTGCATTATGTAGTAGCAGAATACAATAATACAATTGAAAACATTGTTCCATAACGTGATATGCAAAGAAGCGTATAAAAGAGATTTTCACTTTATTTTCATTTACCCTTTGTCTCTAAAAAAAGCATGAAGGGTTCCTAATCTATTTTTCTAAGCGAGCCGTACTCCGCAACAATAGTTGATTCAGCACTTCAATATGGAGAAGTATCACATGTTTGTGTAAGTAAAACATATAAACAGGGCTGAGTTGGATGGGCGCAGATCGTGACTCTTTCTTTTACAAACAACTCATGAACGCAATGGACTACTCACTAGACCCATGAGATTTCAGTGTTAAATATGGTCAAGACCATCCAGAAGTAACTGGCAAGGAAGCAAGAGCAAAATACGAAGAATATAAAGACTTCTACGCTACATACCATCGGGACAACCCTGGAGTGACGACAGACTGCTACGCAGAATTCCTCAAAATACATAGCAAGCAAGATAAGCGAACAAGTAACACACATTTATTAGGAGGATAGAGGAGCAACGGGGAGAAGAGTTTGAATACTGTTACTAGTTTTGTGCTATATTGCAAGAGAGAGAGGCAGTTGTGCGTTATTAGTTGGACAGAGCAGAGTTATAGTAAAGGTTAGGTTACATTTCAAAGACGAGCTCGAGTGGGAGACGTTATGCGTTAAATAGTGAAGCGGACGGAGAATGGTTGAATGTATCACAACACGCGCGTTAGAAAGCGTATAGAATAGAACATAGTAAATGTTATTATATCACTATATATCTGCTTTAATCCATTCATTTGAGCAACCTTGGTGTGCTGTTTGCAAAATTGACTAACTGTCTCCTTTTGCATTCCTTTATATTTTTTCTTTTCTAACCTATGGTGGCGGCTTCAGCAGAAGGTGAACAGAATAAAGTTGAAGCTGATATTTCACTATTTCAACAAAATGAAGTGGAGCTAGCTTTTAATTTAAGTTACATTGATGCTGAAAATGTTATTGGAGACTTCAAGCATGAGCTTCATGCTAAGCACCGATATTGGACGGAATATCGAACTAAATATGTTCTATACTGGACATTGTTTCAAGACTCAGGATACGGCAAATCTTGTCTTATCAAAGAGGTCGCCAAGGACATTCCCACGCTTTACCTTTGCTTATGTCCTGTAGCAAGTACAGGATATCCTTCACAGACAGAAATCATTGCAAACTTTTTGGAAAAAACCTTTTTTGTACACCTTCAGCAGGGAGAAGAATGGCGACTTGCTTACATTCTTTTTCAGTTAATGAATTTATTTTACACAAAGAGTAAAAGTCACTCACCCGAGCACATGTGGGACCTACAGATGGGGCTTTGGGATCCTTCCTTCTGGACTGAGGTTCTAAAAAACATAGAGAATTGGAAACAAGTGACTGAAAATGACGTGTTAGAGATTATGTCTCAAAATCTCTCTTGGCAGTCATATGGGCAAGAAGATGTTAAGATGATTATATGCATTAATGAGGCTCGGTCTCTTCTTCCTCCTCGAAAAGATGCCATTAACCCATTCAGACTCTTTCGAAGAGCTCTGCGACAGATCAGCAGGCAAGGCAAATGGACGAGATTCTTTGTATTGTTTCTGGATACACTTAGTAAAGTAGTAAATTTTGCACTACCCACTACAGCTGATCCATCTACCAGAAATGACAATGCGAATGTGGACCAAGAGACTGGTATGATTCTTTTTACACCCTTTATCAAGCTTTTCACCATGGATATATTCCAGCAAAGTGAAATCCCACTTGACATTACTAACTCAGAAGATAGAGAAATGTTTACGCTGACAAGATTAGGAAGACCACTAGGCTATAGTTACTTAGAGAGCAACAAGAAAAATCCCAGACGCCTCAGAAATTTGATAGAACATTTCAAAATTAAGCTCCTTGGGGGAGTTTATGATCTGACACATGCTTAGTGATCCAATCCTTAATCCGTTCAATCCAGATAGATCTTTAATCCAGATGGAAATCAGATATTCGCATCCTATAATTTTTAAATGGATGGATCCGCTAATAAATCCAGATGGTGATGATCAGATGACTATCCGGATGATAAAAATTTTTTAATAATTTTGAAATTTTTTTCTCACAAAAAAAAATTTTGAAATGGAATCTGTTATAGTTTTATGGGTCATACGTTATATTGACCCTTTTTATTTCCTTTTTTATTCAATTTTCATGAGTAGTAAATCACTAAATCATTAAAAAAAGATTATCAACAATCAATTTATCATAATTTTTGAAAGCTTTAGAGCTGGAGAGTAAGAGACTAAGAGTTGCTATTTACTTTAACATTAATTACATAAAATAATAGAATCGGGTTCTGATTATATTCAAATTGATATTGATATTGAACAAATTCAACAAAATTCTTTAGCAGAAAAAGGAAAAGGTGATAATACATCACACATTGACGCTAATTTCCCAAATTTGTATTTAATTTTAAATAAATTGCTTCTAATAATTAAATCTTTATTAAAGATAAGGAAACAGAAACAAGTAGTTCTAAAAGTGGAAGTCAAAAATATAAAGGTATAAATAAAAGAAAAAACCCATCATTTACAAAACCATACTTTGAAATTGGATGCAATCTAAAGGGTAAACAGACTTGTACTTGTATTATCTTAGATAAAAATGGTGATCGTTGTGGTAAAGTATATCAAAATACTGGAAGTTTAACTGGGAATCTTGTTGCACACCTATGAGATACCCACCAAATTATTGATGAAAATAATGAAAGTGAAAGCGTCCCAAAAAAGGTAAAATTTTTATTGAATAATTTTATTTATATATAATATTTATATTTAATTAAAATTAAAATTTTCTTTTTAGTTACGAAATGCAAAAATCACAGAATTTGCTAGATCTTATCATCCTCATCCTAAACATATTCAAAAACAACGAGAAGAATCTGTCCTTAAATGGATGTTACTTACTAATCAACCTCTTTCTACCATTACAAATCTGGCATATAAAGAAAAAATGTCCCAATTTGATCCTTCATTTGTAGTACCTGGAGAACAAAAAATTAAGACAATGATATCTAAAAGCTATCAATATAATTACCAAAATTTAAAAAATATCTTAAGTGAAACTGCTGCAACAGTATCTCTTACCACAAATCTTTGGTCTAGTAGAGCTAAACATAGGTATCTTGATGTTACTGCAGCATGGATTACGCCTGACTTTAAAGTTAAAGATGTAATGTTGGAAATAAAGTATGCCCCTTCTCCTTATACTGCTGATGCTATTGCCGAATTGCTTTATGAATGTATTTCAAATTGGGATCTTGATGGACGTGTGACAGCAATCATTACCGATAACGGATCAAATATGAAGGCGGCATTTCCTATTTTAATTAAAAAAAATCAATGTGAAAAAATTCAAAGACTTCCTTGTGTTGCGCATACACTCCAGTTAGCAATTGGAAAAGGATTGGCACCTATAGAGATTTTAGCTGCACGTGCAAAACGAATAATTAATTTTTTTCAACACAGAAACAGATAGAAAGATTAGAAGAAGTTCAGCGTAAATTAGGATATAAGGATGTAATGCGTTGTGTACAAGTTATACAAACGCGTTGGAATTCTTCTTACTATGCTTGGGATAGACTGTTTTATCTTAAAGACGCAATTATTCAACTCCAAGCTGATTTATATACAAGTGCTATTAGAGAGGATAAGAAAGATGGAAATAAACTAAAAAAAATTATGTTGTCCGAAGAAGAATGGGATTTGCTAGATGGATTGGTTGATGTTTTAACCCCATTTGAAGAGGAAATATGATATTTTTCAGGAAATACATATGTAACGCTTAGCAAAATGATGTCAACTATTAAAGTGCTCATTTTTAATTTAGCTACTCACTCAGAGGACTTGCCATCAAATGACGTTGATTATCAAAATGAAGATACAATATTTGAAGAAGCTGCTGATGTAGAAATCGATAATGAAGAAATTATAAGCAACATTACCAAAAAGAAGATTTCTATTAAAGATCTATTAAATACTGAAGGAGTTTTATATAAAGTAAAAAACAATATTTATAATGTAATGCTTTATTACTAGAATATTTCAAGTGATATAAGATTAATGGCTACTTTATTAAATCTACATTATAAGGAATTAGATTTAGAACTAGAAGATAAAAAAATGAAATAATTCAAAAACTTTGTGAAGAGTTTAATGAGTTAAATTCTGATAATTTGAATAAACTAATACTAGTAACACATATAGAAGAGCTATCTAATCCAGTTGTACCTTTTTCAAATACAGAATTATTATTATATTTACAAAGAGAATATCGTAAGTATTATCAAAGTAAGAATAAAAAATAAGTACATTTATAATAATTGATAAAATAATTATTTGTTAATGCTATCTGCATTATAAATAGAAGATCTATTAGATTAGTAGTGAAATTATAAAGAAAAATTTTCAAACTTATCTTAAATTGCTTACAAATACTTTAAAATTCTAGTTATATCTGTGTCAAGTGAAAGATTATTTTCTCATGCTGATTCTCTAATTTTAGTAAAAGAAATCATTTAAATATAAGTTTAGTAGGACAGATGTTGTTTTTAAAAAGAAATATTTATTTAATAAAAGTATTTGTAAAAGAGTGGGATGATGTTAGTAAATGCTAATTTCTTCTTTTCTAATATTTTAATTTATAATAAGAAATTAAAAATAAATAAAATACTAAATAAATAAATATGAATTGTATTCAATAAAATATAGTAGTTATAAATTGTAAAATTTAAATAAATAAAAAATAATCATAATACAAGACTTTATAAATAAGGTGAGGATCCTTATGAAACTAGTAGAAACTAATAGACTAATCAAATATGATAAATATGCCAAATAGGATATATATATTATTTATAATATTTTTATTATATTTATCATAATTATTATTTATTTCATATTTAATATAATTAGCATATCTTTTAGCTCTGTTATTA